TGCAACAGTGCTATTATTACATTGTGGGAACTGAAATGAATGTCATAAAACAAAATGTGTATGAATTGTTGAATGAGAAACTAATTTGATCTGTAAACTTTCACCCAAATCACAATGAAAAAAAAAAAGAAAAAATTCAGATTTTTTAGCAGGCTTGGGAATGGGACAGTTTGGGGTTTGAATCCAGGCTCTATCTCCTGTTAGCTGTGTGATCCTGTAAAAGTCATGTAACTTCTCTCACTTCAGTCACCTCATTTGTAAATGGGAGTAACACAGTAAAACTTGCAAAAGCCAGGCTAAAACCTGTTAGAGAAGGAAAACTCAAACATTTCCTAATAAGAGAGAGGGAAAGAACACTGGTAAGACTGTATCCTGTCATGGGTGGAAAACTTTTGCGACCCTGGAAAACAAGGCAGTTCCCTCAAGCTCCAACTCTCACAGATTGCATTGTAGCACCTTTATGGGATTGTTATACAAATTTAGTAATGTTAGATATGAAGCATTTAGCACAATGCCTGGCAGATGATTATTAATAGAAGCTATGAAGTTCAGCATTTTAATTCCCATTTCATGAAAATCCTTCACTGGTCTGCACTGCTCTATAATTGAGGAAATCAACCTTATCTTCTGGACCAGACTGAGCAATTAAATCAATACTGAAAATGGAAGACACCACTGGAAAAGATTATACATGAGTATGATTTTTTAGAAATTACAGATAAACACAGGTATTTTTATAAATTTAAAATTTTTTAAGACTGATTAATTTCCACAATTATGCAAATGTGCATGTTGTAGACCTGAGGGATGAACTGAGTACCTCATGATTCAATTTTTTCTCTAAAGCACTTATTTCAACACCCTCTTTCTTCCTTACTTCTACTATTCATTACTTTTAAAATATTCCCAAACCATTCATCAAAAGAAAAAGGTCCCTGCTCTCTCCCCTTCTTCTCCAGTGTGGTGAGTGCAGCTGCATTCCATCCATGTCATGTCTTCTCTTAAGACTTTCAGGATCAAGAGATTCCTGGCCAAAAAACAAAAGAAGAGTCACCCCATTCCCCAATGAATTCAAATGAAAACTGATAACAAATTCAGGTATAACACCAAGAGGAGACACTGAAGGAGAACCACGCTGGGTCTACAAAGAGTCACACATATGATGGCACACATTCCCTAAGGTTCTCTAGCTTTCTACCATACCAAGTTTAAAATTTGCCACTATCTGTTCAATTGAACATGCATTGGAAATGTTTTGTTTCTTGATTTGTTTTCATGCTTGCACATTAAGAGACTGAGTGACTAACAAACATGTGAGACATTTGGTTTAAACTGAAAAAGGTCCCTGAGATAAAAATACTAAGTTACAGATATAGATATGTTTCTTCCTCTGTATCAGTTAGCAATTCTATTTAATTCGCTCCATTATTCTAATTGTTTTAAAGTTTCATTGATTATGAAACCTGCCATCCACCAAGGTAACAATCCAAACTGATTTAGGGTCTGCATAATCATATACTACATCAAAAGATCTACGTCAGAGATTCTCAAAGTGTGGTCCACAGATACCAAGGGGCCTCAAAACCCTTTGAGAGGGCCTGTGAAGTGAAGTCAAAACAATTTACAACACTAAAATGTTATTTATTTTGTCCACTGTTTTGACATTTGCACTGAGGGTGCAAAGTGATCGTAAGTCTGCTGGACGCTTAGCAAGAACCAAGGCTGTGGCACTAAATTGTCAAGTAGTGATTACTTGCTTCACTGCTAAGCACTTGTAGGTGGGGGGGGGGGAAAGTTTCACTTAACAATCTCCTGGATGAAGCAGTAGAATTAATTTTCTTAAGTCTTGGTCCTTAACTACATCTCTTGATATTCTGCATACCAAAATGGGAAGTACGTATAAAGCACTTCCCCTTTATACCAAAGTATAAGGGTTGTTTGAAGAAAAAGCATATGTGTAATTGAGTTGCAAACTAAACTTGGTGCTTTTCTCATGAAACACCATTTTTACTTCAAAGAGTAACTGAGAGGGAAAAAAAAAATAAATGAGAAACCATGGTTACTCAAACTTGAGCATCTGGCAGATAGTTTTCCAAAAATAAACAAAGTAAGCCTGCCACTTCAGGAAAACTGACAGTATTTGATGGGTATGATAAAATTCCAGCTTTCAAATAAAAATTAACATTGTGAAAAACTTAAATCTGCCACCATGAGCTGGACAATTTCCCAACACTTAAAGACTTTTTTCATGAGATAGCAGTGATAATAAAGAATGTGATATTTTTATATTGTGTAATGAAATGTGTCAACATGAGGAAGATCAGCATACTTCAGTGAACCAATTATTTTCCTTTGATTCACTAAGTTATGCAGATCAAAGAATAGATACACATTTTAAAAATTCCTCAGGAGGTAATATCTAATATGGTATGGATCAGTGTAACACATAAATAAAAGCTCTTTGGGATTTTCAATCATCAATTGGCAAATGAGGACAACTACAAACAAAAAGAGGGAAAAGACTGTGTAGTTACAGAACTTCTAAATGGTGAGGAAGTTAAGAGAGTTGCAAGACAAAATGGACTGTTT